CCCGTAGCATTCACTAGTGGTCAATTAGTATGGGATTGTTGTAAGATTGCGAGGTAGCCTGTAGCATTCACCGGTCCCTAGTCGATAGTGAGAATGTGACAAATTTGTGATTCACTCACGGATTCCTTCAGATGATTTAGGCCAGGGCAGGTCAGTCACACGAATGTGAGTAGGCCACGGTACGATTGGATTCGGGAAACGGTAGGTTGTTAGAGATTCGACATGATGTAAGATTATAGTGCTCTGGTAGCATTCACATTTTTACATCAGATTTAGTGGCGACAGGTTGTCATCCTATCATGATCGGATGGATCAAAAGGATTGAAGGAGCCATGAGTGGCAGTATAGATAGGGCGGTTATTTTCAGACGAGGTATCCTTCGGAGGTCGCGTGGGGCGAATTCAAGGTTGCTTGTTGGCTCAACAACAGGGCAGGAAAATGATATTTCGGATAGTGAAAAACAAGATTGGGATCTAAGGAAGTCATGGTTGCTATGGAAAGCAGCTAGACAACGATATGGTGTTCCGAGTAGCGGTAGTGATTAGGATCCTTTGTGGAATATTCGTCCGAGTCTAACTGTTGGATTAAATAATCACAAAATAATTGATTTGACACTGCTGTGTAACTCTCATCTGAGTCTAAGTGTTGCAGAGATGGATCCTCTACTCGAAGAATTATTTAGACTATCCGTTAAGATCGACGTTCGACATCTAGACAAGGTAAGTGAATTCATTCGGTTGGTAACACTAAGATAATCAAGATCAGAAGTAGTTGTTCGATCAGTTATCTGTGAAGGAAAATTGTATGGTACAATTCCAGTGTGGGAGGTCTGGCGAGGAGTCAGACCAATGTAAGGTCTAAGGATCTGGGGAGGCAGGAGTAGTTTCTTACATGAGACGAAGGATTTCTCCTTTTCCGGGATTAGAGAGAGTTTGGTTTGGTTGGTTTCGGTTGCCTTGGGAAGGTTGTGGTATTCACGGGATTATGGTTGTGTTGCTCAGGTTGCTTGGTATGTCGGGGGTGGTATTGAATGATTTCGAGAATGAAATCTAATTTAAGTGGGGGAGAGTTGTAATGTCCTATTTCGAATCAATTCCTAATTCGAGGCTGTAACCCGAAAAGCAGTCATCATAAGGATTATGGCCTTTAAAAAGGTAAGATTGAGGCTTATTTGGATGTGGGTAATGAAGATATGTCACCCAATAGTTCGGTTTGCACTTTGGAGTCAAAGGGTAAAATGGGAATGTAGTGATTTAAACTTCTTTATGAATTATGGATTTTCGTTCGATGTGTTTTAAGTCAAAATTAATTAGATAGGGTTGTAGAGCTCGTCAATACCTTTCCATGGATATAAAAATCGTCGAAACGAAGTAAGAACGAAGAAGTTATGACCATTTGAAGTTTGGGTGGTTTTGGGCCAAGATGAGTATGTTGGGTGTACAAGAAGGTGTACGCTGGGCGTACTAACGGAATCTTGAGTATGCTGGTTGTACCAGGAGTACGCTGGGCGTACGCAATCAGTGCCCAAACCCTATTTTTGTGGTTTAATCCCTATTTAAGCTCCTTAACTCCCCCAAACCCACTCCATTCTCAGCCTCCACCCCTCCAACACCCCTTTCATGAAACCCTAACCTTAGATGATCCTTTTGAGCTAAAAGAAGGTGATTTTGAGTGCTTTGGAGTATGCATGGTGCACCTTAGAGAAGAAGGGATTTCTTGTAGAAGTGTTGGTTGCATTGGAGCTTGTAGATCTGGACTTTGTTCACCTTGATCTATCTTCTAGAGGTATAAAGTTTGAATCTTAACAATGCATTTGTTAGATCTAGCTAGTTTTAGATGTTATGAGCTTTTGGTCATTTTAGTGCATAAAGTTTAGATCTTGAAATTTTGTGACCTTGTTATGGATAAAGTTGGAAAATTTATCCATCTAAACATCATTGTGATTCAGATCTTAAGGTTGGAGACTTGGAATTAATGGATTAAGTTGAAAAAGATGCACTTTTGGTCCCATTTGATGCTTAAAGGCTAGGTCTTGGTGTTTTGGTCCATTCTAATGGATAAAGTTGGAAACTTTATCCATTATGGAGCTTTTATGATCCATAAAAATGTAATCATTCTATACCTTCCATGAGAGTGTCATGATGTATTAATGGATTGATAAGTTAAGGTTTTAGCTTTTGGACCTTTTCTAGACATGGAAAGTCATAAATGTTGAAGCTTTTGACCTAGAATGATGTTGTGGGACTAGATCTGAGTGTTGGATGAAAGGACTTAAGAGATTAAGCACTTAATGGAAAAGTGCCATTTAGTCGAGTACGTAGGGCGTACCTTCGAGTATGCTATGCGTACTCATATGGTTTCCCGATTTTGGTTGGTAAGTACGCCATGCGTACGAGCTGAGTACACTGGGCGTACTTAACCTGAAGTTTTACTTGTTGACTTTGACTTCTGTTGATCGTTAACTTTTGAACTAGTTTGACCTTGGGCCAAACTTGAGGGTTTTGGCCTATTAACTAAGATTTTGTCTGGTTCTGGTATTCATAGCTCAGGAATTCAGCGGGGCAACAGCTAGGGATTCTTCCAGGAAGCTTCTGCAATCGAGGTGAGTCTGCTCACTATTTGTATGGGTCAAAGGCACTAATACCGACCCATTTGGTTTATGTATTGTAGGAAGACCCAAGGGTTAGTCCTACTCCTAGGCATTATGTATGAAATACCAGGAGGCAGCTCCTCGCACATTGTATGCTATTAAGTAATGTAGGAAGACCCGGGGGTTAGCCCTAGGCATTATGTACGAAAGACCAGGAGGTGGCTACTGGTATACTTATGCTAATTGTCTAAGTAGAGTAGTATGTATGCTAGTTGTCTTTGTGATGCTTGTATGGAAGGCCAGAAGGTGGCTCTTGGCACTTATCATTAAGACCCAGGGGGTGGCCCCCAGCTTGGCAAGAAAGATGACGAGGCGGCCCGTGACATAATGGTAAGACTATGTACGACACATTGCACCTTTATTGATTATGATATATGTATGGCTAACGGTTATGTGTGGCATGTATGGTTTAGTTGATATGTATGGTATGTGGTATTTGGGGAACTCACTAAGCTTTGTGCTTATGGTTTTCAGTTTTGGTTTCAGGTACCTCCAGTTTTCAAATAAGGGAGCTCGGGATGATCGTAACGCATGCATCTATGTTTTCCACAATATGTGATTTCTGGGAATGAACTCTGATAAATGTTTTCTTTGAAATGCGTTTCAATGTGTGAACCAAGTTACAAATGTGTTTTAATTATATTAAAAATGAAACTTTTGGTCATGAATTTTGGGATGTTACATTGCATTTACAACCGTCTCAACTTAATCGCTTTACGTGACTATGAGGGATGTATGAAATAACGTTTCACATTTTTCCAAGTGTATGCAACAAAGTTGTTTTTATGCAAAAGTGTTTCATTTTAGGACTAAAAGATGCAAGTTGTTTTACAAATAATGGCAATGCGCTTTATTTTCTTTTTTAATTACAACATCCTTCATGACTGCATTCATGTTGTATTGGAAATAAATGATGTAGAATGCTAGGTTAAGCAAATAATGGAAGTATGTTTCTAATTGCTTCATTTAGCCCTATTATTCCATGTGCTTGCAATAATTTTCCAATTCACATAATCAATTTTCAATTCCTAACAAATTTCAAGAAATATAAGTATGATGCATTTTAGACTAAAAACTATAAGTGTAAGTACGCTGCTATTTTTTTTATGTTTGTTATGCAATTAAAAAAGATCCTAGGATAGCCAAGGATGTTAACATGGCAAAATGGGGACATAAATAGCATCCCTTTCTATCGCACCTGAATTCGCCTGTTTACCTGATTCCGACACCAACCTTGAATTCTTCTGTTTCCCCGCCTCGACCCCCCCCCCCCCCCCCCCCCCAATTTCAATATCACCGTTGCTTCCACCCTATCTCCCCAGAATCCCCCGTTTGACACAAAATCTCCCCTTATTTTCCTATTTTTCACTCGTTTATTTTGTTTAACGTTAAAAATTAGACTAACTAGTCAAATAAAAAACATATATATTACACAATGGTTAGTATAATTTTAATTATTATTTTTTAATTAAAATAGTTAAATTTAGGGGGGGGGGGGTGGTAAAACTCATCCGCTCCGTAGAGTTTTCTCACATCCCAAATGATAATGAATAGTCAAAGTTAAATTATCATTTTAAACAACATAATTTGTAGAGATCAAGTATGTAGATTGTCAAACTGTAAACTTTGGTTGTACGTATTCCTACACAGGATCACATGAAGAATCCTTTTGTGATGAACAAGATTCGGAAGATGATCTATGCTGGGATTTTTCCCTAACAATGTAGGTATTTATTTTTGAAGTTATTGATGGTTGAATTAGAAGTGTTAGATTCATATTAGTTCATATGTTTATCGTAATTTACTTGCAACAAAAATTATTATTTAAACTCATGATGCAACGTGCGAGCTTAAAACCCTCGTTATAAGACACAAATATTAAATTTCATTATTGTTTCTTACAAAGCATCATTAGCGAGCCACCTTATCAGCATGCTTAAACATTCTTTAGGTTTGTACTCTGGAGCTGTATGACCTCCTCCCTTAAACATCACAAAATAGGTAACCATCATAATCGTAACAATAAATGTTTCTTTTCATCACAAAACTTCAAAGTTTCTTTTTTCAGTAGGTTTAACAACTATTCATCATAATTAGAAAGTCAAGTATTATAAATTTTCACCTTTAGAGTAGCATATGTCAAGTTGTATTCATGGTTTGAATATTTCATGGTGTATCTGCAAGAAAATAAGATAAGAGCATAATGTCGACATATTATCAGTTTCATATTTTATTGTGACAAAAGTAATGAAAACAGAACTAACCCGACTACTTGTTTGTTGACAAACCAAGGTCTCCAATCATTCACAACTAAAAATTTTAGAGATTTAATCCAGTGCATTGTTCCAAATTATGGAACGACCATGTCATGATCTCCACTGCACAAACATAAAAACATGCAAAATTTAATGGATATTTGTTTTGTTTCAAGTTCTCAGCGTTTGAACCAGGAAAAAACAAGAATACAATGGTTCATTACATTAGAATAAAAATTTGTTTTTGTTGTCCAATGGAATGTAATAGACCATGTTTAAAGGAATGCTCCACTCCATTTTAATGTGGCAAACAAACAACCTTTTTTTAATTCTAGAGTATTATACCATTCTCTTCCCCCTTCAATTATTACATACCAAACTCTGTCTAAATACCACATGCATGCATGAATAAGATAGATAGAAAGTACTAGACAAATAGGAGAAAGGGAAAATGAAAATTAAGAAGAATAGCTAAGGGTAAATGGGTAATACCTGAATACAAGAGCGCGACAATTTTTATTGGCAAGGTTTTCATGGTAGGCAACCGTATTTAGGACATTGTGTGTGTTAGATATGGGTTTCGTAAAAAAATTAAAAAATAGACTTTCATTGCATCGCACCCATTTGATTTCATCGAATTCCTGGTAGTCATAAGATTATTATCCCATCAAATTATATTCAAGAGACATGAATAGAACTCAGTTTACTATAAACTACAAACCTCATCAATATGGAGAGCCTCTCGCACGTCTCTGCGGTTAGCCCATACATAGCTGTATATATAGTGGTCATCCTGCATGAAATATATAAAAAAGAAAATAAAATATAAAAATTAAAAGGTTTTATATTTTTCCCTTGATTTAAGACAAAAACCATTTTCTCCATGTTTTTCTTTCAAATGATGGATTTTTTTTGGGGATTGGATAGAAGGGAAGCAAATAGTTTAGATAGAGTAATACGCGACACCCTTGTATTCGAACTTGAGGTAACGACCATATATCCATAGAGGCATTGTGAAGAGATACTAAGCCCCTCCTGAAGTGATAAGATTTTATAGTATTTGAAGTGTCACAAGCAGGCTCTAGAATTTGGGGCTTGTTAATTCTTCCAATACACTGAGATCGAAATAGAAGAAACATGTATTAAACTCAATATATACTCTCAAGATGCCATTATTAGCTAGGTAATGATCCAATTTAGAGTGTAGCTCATGTACCTTATCCACAACTTTAAGATCATTTATACAACGATGGTTGTTGGGATCTACATCCAAGTAATTTCCGTGGCAATTTTCTTTAGTAGACTACAAAATTTGATATGCAACTTAATTGTTAGTCGTATTACAGAAACGATATAAAGGAACTTGTTGTATTAGTAGACAACTTGGTTGTAGTTATTTACTTTATAGATTTCATTTGATAAGAGTCCCGTACGATGAAGAAATGGGATTCTTGAATTATAGTCGCCACTTGTGTCTGTTAGAGGATTACCAAGCATGTACCCCTAATTTGAAAAAATATATATCAAATTCAATGATCTATGAAAAGATTATACGAATATTTTCCAAGCATTGCGGTTGATAAAATTCAGTGTAATCAAGATTCAAACTCGTGCACCTATATATAGTTGTTTTAGAATGTGTAAAAAGGAAGTAACACAAGCTAGCCACCTAAAAATAAGAAATTCGACTGATCGAAGTGATTGATCAATTTGTACCTTGATCTTTATCTGTGGCCCTTCTCCGACTTCATTACCTATATAAAGAGGGAAGCAAAGCAAGCTCTATAGCACAGACTTCAAGCATTTAAGAATCAAACTAGTGTTTATCAAACACAACTCTATAACAAGAACTTCAACGATATTTAGAATACCTTTGTATATTTCGTTAACAATCATTGGTGCCACTATGCCCATGTAGGACTCACCTCCAAGATAAAATGGATTGTTGAGAAATTTAGGATGATCCACAAGCCACTGGTGGGATAGTCATAGCAAACAAAGATTCATGATCTTAGGTAATTTTAATTTACATCTAAACCAGACAGATTGCAATATGATCTCGATGCTTGGACGACATGAAATGTGTCATCAATTGACTCATATATTGCAAAAGTCAGTTATAGAATTAGTAAACAATCCATTTACAAGAAAATAAGTAGAGCATATATATATATATATATATATATATATATATATATATATATATATATATATATATATATATATATATATATATATATGCAAATTCCTTCAATATGTAGATGGATTTATTTCTTGGTGAGCTATGCTAACTGGAAAAATGAAACTTCACAGCACAAAGTTATTGTACCTTCCTCAGAAAATGGTATGCATGCATTGATGATAACGTATCATTTGTTATGTAAGCGTCCGGAGTTTTTGCATAGGAAAATCCGGTCCCAACAGGTTGATCGAGGAATATTATGTTGGCCACCTAAAAAGCAACCAAGATTTCATTATATCAACAAACTATTACTCCTTGGGTTGTTAACATCAAACATACCATAATATTAAAAAAAAAAAAAAAGCACCTTAATGCATATCAAATAAGAGCTTTCGTGTGTGTGTGTATATATATATATATATATATATATATATATATATATATATATATATATATATATATATATATATATATATATATATATATATATATATATATATATATATATATATGTGTGTGTGTGTTTAAGAAAAAACTAATTAAATGAGTGAGTTTGATTGAACATTTCAGGGATAAATTAGTTAAATTAAAAAAAAAAAAAATCTACTTCAAGATGTTAACCATTATAGATGTCATTTAAATAAAGGTTAAATTTAAAGAGTGGATGAGATGACAATAATTTTGAGTTGTAGCATAGGTTAGGTCGACCATTAAAGATGCTCCTACGTATTTATAAAGAACACAATGACAACTAAAAAACAACAGCTAAAAATGAAGTCACTTATATTTCATACCTTTCTCTTATATATGATCAATTCAAATTTCCACAAATATTCTAGCCAATATGAATTAAGGTTTGTGTAAAATACATGGTAACAAATAAGCACCTTTGTCCAACTGTATGGGTTTTTCTCGAGCCTTCTCCAAAGTGGAATTTACATAGTTGAAAGTGAAGGGGCCTGTACACATAAGTATCAACATATTTAATATTATATATATATATATATATATATATATATATATATATATATATATATATATATATATATATATATATATATATATATATATATATATATATATATATATATATATATATATATAGTAAATTACTGAAATCGTTCCTGTGGTTTGGTTAAAATTGCATATTTGGTCCCTAACTTTTATTTTGCACTCGGATAGTCCTTATGGTTTGATTTTGTTGCATTTTTCGTCCCTATGATTTGGTTAAAATTGCATGTTTGGTCCCTAATTTTATGTATGTAAGGGACGAAAAACGCAACAAAATCAAACCACAGGGACGAAAAATGCAACAAAATCAAACCACAGGGACGATCCGAGTGCAAAAGAAAAGTTAGGGACCAAACGTGCAATTTTAACCAAACCATAGGGACGATTTCAGTAATTTACTCATATATACAGGGACGATCCGAATGCAAAAGAAAAGTTAGGGACCAAACGTGCAATTTTAACCAAACCATAGGGACGATTTCAGTAATTTACTCATATATATATATATATATATATATATATATATATATATATATATATATATATATATATTGTGAAGTTCAAATGAGAACACTATTTAATGTGAGAACGTGAGAACACTACTTTATGTAAGTATTCTACTATAAATTTTGTATATACAACGATATGACATTTTTCATCAACAAATATACGAACAATCACACATTAATATTCACATTAAAATTTTGTATGTACAACTTTATGACATTATTAATCACCGAATATATGAACAATCACATATTTAACATTTACATTAGAATTTACTAAATTACTATATATATATATATATATATATATATATATATATATATATTAATTAATTATAGTAGAATAGTAATATAAAATTGAAAATATTCATATTGTAATTACTACAATACTATACATATTAAATTCATAGTAGAATAGTAACATAAAGTAGTGTTTTCACGTTCTAACATTAAATAGTGTTTTCATTTGAAGTTAACCATATATATATATATATATATATATATATATATATATATATATATATATATATATATATATATATATATATATATATATATATAGACACACACACACACTCTAATAAATAAAGAACTTTTTATCGTATGTCAGTTTGTGGTTATTTTGAATTAATTTTTTTTCATGTTATTTATGTTTTTTTTATTAAATTATACGTAGTATTTAAAGGTAATAATAAATGAATATCAATTTCATTAATAGACTTACCTTCTAATTTCGAAATTTCTAAATTAAAGCCTTATTATTTATTTATTTATTTAAATTATCGTTTAGATTTAAAAGATAAAAAAAACATTTCAATTTTAATAATTCAATATTTTTCTGTTTTTTATTATAAATTCAAATTTGTCAAATATTTAAACATTCATATTTAACTTTTTTATATATAAACCAATGTAATATATATATATATATATATATATATATATATATATATATATATATATATATATATATATATACATGCTAAGGATATCAAATATGTAGCACATAAAACCAGCCAACATATTATCAACCGAATCAAAAAATTTAGTGACCAACATGTTTCATAGCCAACATATTGGGTTGGTAGTACCATATAAAATGAGTAATCTTGGTACGGTAACAATACAAAATTCGAAGACCATGATACTATCGCACCAACTAAATCATCTCTTATAAATACACACACGACAATTGTCAATAAGTTTCTTAAGTACACTCAAAGAATTACTTCACTAATCTATTAACCAAACGCAAAAGTTATCTCATGCTTTTATTGCTCTTTAATTATTACAGCTAAAAATTAGAAAAAAGTTGGTATATATCATTAACAATTTGTATGGAACAAACTTGTTGGAAACCAAACAAATTGGTACAAAATATATATGATATGAAATTGATAGCCAAATTTGTATACCAACTAACTATAGTTGATACATTACATGGTTTAAGAAAAAAAATCAACATCGTACAATGTCATCCCTAATACAAGCATTCTGATATGAAAAATACACATTCTTAATGTAAATGACAAAAATAACATGTTAATAGGTCCTACTAAAATTAAATACTTGGTGCAACAATGTGTTTGGAATCTACCGGTCCAATCCAAAGTTTCCCAACATATACTATTTATTGCAAACAAATTGTTGCTCATAAAAAGAGCATATCCAATGATACAACTCATTAAGAGGTCCAAAACACTCACATTAATATATATATATATATATATATATATATATATATATATATATATATATATATATATATATATATATATATATAAAAGAGTTCAACAAAGAACCCTTATAAATGGTTCTCCAAGGAACTAAATAATTTTTTCAAGTTTTAGAATTTATTATTTATCGAAAAGAACTAAAAATATATAAATTCATAACTTTACATTGTGAATGCTAAAATATAAATTATATATTTTTCGTATTCACCATGTGAATTCAGATTCAAATTGTGAATTTGCACAGATTCACACTGTGAATTTGACGAAAAAAAAGTAATTTTTTTTATCGAATTTGATATAATTAGAAAAAGGATAAAAAGTTATGAATTTTTTATTTTTAGTTTTTTTTATTGATATAAAATAAGCTCTAAAAGTTGGAAAAAAAGATTGGTTCTTTAGTTTCATGGTTAATAATGGTCTTCTATTGAATGTTCTTTAGTTTCATGGTTAATATATATATATATATATATATATATATATATATATATATATATATATATATATATATATATATATATAATTAAGAGGCTTGAAAACTATATACTTTTTCCTCTTCAAATTTTAAACACAATATTTTATGGGTAGTACAGCTTTGGTCCATCCTATATTCCCGATTCTTCCACCACCATATGACCTTCTTCTAAGAGGGTCTTTCCTCCATGCCCACCGTCACCAACTTCAATTAGCGGTATTAATGACTGTCTCCCCTCACTCCATCTATGTATATAAGCCTTTTATATCTTTTCGATTTTGGTCGACTTCATAAAGCAGTAAGGACTCATTGTCTTTCCTTCCCAAAAGAAAACCATAGAAAGAGGAAAAGTGAAAAGAGTTTCTTTTGTAGCGAATAGACCGAGCGAAGATAACCGTAGAGAAAAGATGGTGTTCTGCTTCAAATCCTGACCAGAAGCCAGAGACTAATCCATCTTCATAGGTCTTGAAAAATTCAAGAACGATGCGGTTTTTTGCTGCGTTTGTATTTTTTGAGGTTTGTTTAGTCACCATTGACTACCTACTCTACTACTGTGTATGCCACCATCTCCATTTCAATCCGAAATTGAGGTAATTTGCTGTTAGGTATCTCCATTTGAATCCGAAATTTGCATAAATTGCTTTGATATACACAAATATCGGTGGACTCTATGGCGAAGAAAGCAGACATGATGCTCTACGTATTCTATGTTACACTTATCATTCATTGGTAACCTACTTCGTTATTCTCTACACCCATCATCGGTCTAACACCCCACTACCGCTCCACCAAAGCTCTGCCTTCCTGGAACCCCTCCGTGCTTATATTGTACTAAAATGAATTGTCTCCTCCATCCATAGCTTCCTGAGCTTCTTTTCGTCTTTTCTGTGGATGGCCTAACACTGTTCCATTATAAACCTTGTTTCCTTTGATAGGTTCTGATTTTCATTGATTTCTTTGATGGGTTTTAATTTTCATTGTTATTGAAAGTATAGTGTTGATTTTCAATATCTACAGGTATATATGGATGTTCTATTGTATGATTTATGTTTTTGTTGTTTTTGTAATGTTTATATGTTTGCTGAAGGAGAAATATGTGGCTGAAAGTGTTGTTGCAATCTATATGTTCGATGAAATGCCTCAAAGAGGGTATAACTGATGTTTTTGGGGTTAATTTGTGATTACTAAAGTTAGGGTGGATCAAATTCATGGAGAAACAAAGACGATGTTGGAAGTAGTGTATACTATGCGTAAGATTTTGGGGGTCTTAGAATATCAATTAACTTGGATAATTCCTAGAATCGTGATTGCAATCACTTTCCAAAATCTATGATTTTGACCCTTATGCCTGGGGTCTCACGAAATCTGATTTGGAATAATCCAAGAAATGCAATTTGGAAATTATGCCACATCCAAATTCGAAACACAGAAAATATACCTTGTTGTTTTGTTTTCTTTTGAGACAGAGAGAACCAGAAGTATGATTTTTGAGAGTAAGTTTTGTGATTGGTTTTCTGGAACATCCAAACATGCAGTATCTTCTTATACAAGAGGGAAAAGTATTTGGTGGTAGTTACATGTTTCTTGATCGACATCTTCTTCCCAACCACTATCGTTTTTTCTTATATCATTAGTCATCACTCGTCAGTTCATCACTCACCCCCATTTTATTCTACACTTTTACTCTTCTATAATGGATACTGAATCTATCATTGATCCGACAAGAAGATATGGTACCCAAGACCCTAAGATTAGAAACAACTTTACATGCACTTTCTGCACAAAAGTTGTTAAGGGAGGTGCATACCGGTTAAAACAACAACTTGTTGGAGGTTATAGAAACGTTACAGATTGCCCAAGATACTTGGAACATATCCAGAAAGAAATAACATATTTTATGAAAGAAAAACAAGCATCAAAAGAAAGTATTCAAATGCTATCAAGGATGCAAGAAGTTGATGAGTATGATGAAGATGAAGAAGAAGTTTGTGTTGAAATAAGATAAAAAAAGGGAAGTAAAGGAAGTAGCAAACTACCTCCAAAAAAGAATCCAAAACCAAAAGGGCTTATAGATATGTATTACACTCCAAATCTTGAAGTTGCACTTAAAGATAGAAAAGATGGTAAAGAAGGGAAACAACAAACGATTAATGAGGTGTGTCAGAAAGAACTAAGGAGAAAAGCATGTAGTGAAATAGCAAAATGGTTTTATGACGTAGGTATTTTCTATTCCTTTCATATGGTTTATAAAAATGTTGTTTCTTTAAAGTTATATAGTCCACTTTATGTTTAAACATGTTGTTTTTTTTGTTTATATGAAGATTATATGTTAAAACTTTGCTGGTTTTGTGATTTGTGTAGGTATTCCTTTTAATGCTGCTACATATGATAGTTTTAATATCATGGTAGAAGCTACTGGACAATTTGGTCTCGGAATGAAACCACCTAGCATGTATGAGCTAAGGGTTCCTTTGCTAAAGAAATAAGTAGAAGCCATTAAAGGAAAAATGAATGAACGCGAGGAAGAATGGGCCCAAAAAGGGTGTTCAATCATGTTAGAGGGTTGTAGTGATTTGGTGGTGCAAAAAGATATAATAAACTTTTTAGTGAGTTTTCCGTGGGGACCTGGTTTCAAGAAATTTATGGATGTTTTAGAAGTTTCGAAGGATGCAAACTTGTTGTTTGGTGTTCTTGATGACATGGTTAAAGAGGTTGGAGAGGCCAATGTTATCCAAGTTATCACGGATAATGCGCCCGCTTATGTTAAAGCGGGTAAGTAATAGATATTAAGTAAATTAGTTTTTTTTTTTTTTTTTAATTTAGATTATTTAGATTATTAATTTTACTTTGGTGTCAACTTTGTAGGGAAATTATTAGAAGCCAAAAGACCACACCTCTTTTGGACACCATGCGTGGCACATTGTGTTCACTACTAGAAAAATAGCCTTTTACGACGCGCAAACAATGACACGCACTAATTTACGATACGCTAAAGTGTGCGTGCTAAAAATAATGTCATCTCTCACAAAATTTAAAGGATCAAGGACGCGCATTTTTGCGTGCCCCTAAAATTAGTGTCTTAACAAAAAAAAATTAAAAACACGGAGGATGCTTATCTTAAGCGTGTGTCCTCTACAGATGCTGTTTTATAATTTTACTCAAACGCGCGTCTCTTATAACAAAATCATAGGGACCGATATTGATATTAATTCTAGGGCTTTTTTAAGACTCAAAGCACTCACTCACTCAGCGCTCTCTACAATCGATCCGGAGACCTCGCCTCGCTTCCCGCAACCCCTTGCTCACTTCTCCTCATCGACGGTCTCATCATCACCCGACCTCAAATTCCTTTGTTTCCATCTTTTGCAGAAAACCCAAATACACGCTCACCCCGTTTTTGATGCTCAGAAACGAAAAAGGGCAAGCGCCTTGGTATTTTAGAAGATGTATTTTGGGGAAATAGGGCATTTTGGTTCTACGTGTTCTTATAACCCTGGGAATCAAGAACCCTGTATTCTCACACCGGATTCATAGTTGAAGTCTACCAGAAAGAAAAGTGTACGGATGAGCCTAATGGGTCGGGGAATAGCAGAGGAAGAGCTAGTCCTTCTTCGTAGAAGACTATGTGATCTCAATTTCATCTTCTCCCTCTTCTCCGATTCTCCCGACAACAACTACAGGTTCGGTTGATGGTTATTCGAAAATTCTATACATCTTCCAATTATGTCTACGTGAATATCATAATCTCTTTTTTTCCTCATCCTCCATTGTGACGTATTTAATCTTTGAACAAATTTCAGCAAGTTGAAATTTATCGTATCAAATTTGGTAACTGAGGGTGTAACAATTCGATACTGCTTCAGGATCCTCGAGGATGCGGAAAAATTGCGGTATAATACCCAATTTCTGTGATAATTACTTGGATTTTTTATAGTATTTACTGTGATTTTATTGTGTCATTGATTATGGAATTAGGTGTTGGATCTTGTTCTAGAGGATTTGCTGAAAGAATATCCTGAAATGATCTCAGAGGCATATATGTATATATATATATATATATATATATATATATGTTTTTATCTATTTAAATATTTTGTTTTCGTCTATTATTTTTTTACTCTATATCTGTTGTGATATCAGGCACAATGGCTGATCGAAAAGAGCATCTCCTCCCACCAAAAGCTACATCAGCTATAAATGTTAGTGATGGATCATAACAGCTGATGAAGTTCTGCTATTGAATTCTCTTGATATCTATATGTGGTGGAATTACAAAGACGATTGAAAGCTAAAGGGGTTGGTGTGGTGTGGCAATCTGAAATGGGCAAAGTTGAATAGAAAAATGGGAAATTCAAATAGATCCTTAGGGTACCTGTGCATGGTTTGTAGGGTTTTTAAGACTACCTTCCATTAAAGAGAGATTAAAAAGATGTGATCTCCTTGAAAGGGGTGTTCTTTCTTCTTCAAAGGTATTATTTTGGTCTGTTTATATATGCCCATTTACATGTTCATACAGATTCCGTCTTTTCAACTTTCATCAATAGATTATGCATATACAGTATAGAGGTCTTTCACTCTCTTCTTGTAGTTATAGATTCTCGATCACCTTCATCAGGTTGTCCATACTACAAGAGATCTAGAGAGAGATCTAGAGAGAGAGAGATCTGGAGAGAGAGAGAGAGAGTGTGTGTGAGAGAGAGAGAATTAATGAAAAGAAAACTATCTGCAGTGTGCAATTTCTTGTGTTGTTTATTACAAGTTTAAGAGATATAAAGTTGATTCATTTGCAATAAAATGTTCTGTTCGTGGTTGGAAAACAAAAGAAATTGCAAACTTTGATTCGTTCTTTGCATTCACTCTTTGTTGCTTTGTAGTTACACTTGAATTTTTTTTTCTTTCCTACGAGTGAGTAGTTCAGGAAGATATTCAAGACCCTGTATTCTCTCCTACAGGTACCGTTACCTTGAAATTTTTTTCTATAATCTTTTTGAGGTATTATTTTTATAATAAGGGTCTAGATTGTTAGCACTTGGTACTTCAAAAATACATCAAGGATCTTGATATTTTAAGATTGGTAAAATTTGATACTCATATCAACAATTTGTTTACTTGCAGACTGCTGGAAAGGCAGGTGTATACACTTACAATATACATTTCTGGTTGGGAAAAGATGCTAATCAGGTATTTCATTCTACGTTTTTTTTGTAAATTTCTTGTGTGTATATCTGTAACAAATAGTCAAAGTCATGATGTAAATTAGGATGAAGCTGGAGCAGCAGCTGTAAAAGTTGTTGAGCTTGATTCAGTTCTTGGCAATCGTGCAGTAGAGTATCGAGAACTTCAAGGTCATGAATCTAATAGGTTTTTGTCATACTTTAAACCATGTTTAATTCCACTTGAGGGAGGTTTTGGATCTGAAGTCAAAACACCCGAAGAAGAAGAAGAAAAAGAAAAAGAAGAAGAAGAAGAAGATGGAGAAGAAAAAGAAGAAAAAGAAAAGCCTGAACCACGGTTGTACACATGTAAAGGAAAACGAGTTGTCAGATTGAAACAGGTGCATATATAATTCAAACATATTTTAGATCAATTGTTTATTCATCTTTTGAAACATCTTTCTGCTCTTTATTCAGGTCCCTTTTGCGCGCTCCACCCTGAATCATGATGAAAACGTTGATCTTATGTTAGAGGAC